ATAACACAGAAATTCTTGGATCAGAACATTTTCCTGTTTTGTATTCTCCTGTATTTCTTGTCATTACTGTTCTATTTACCTCTTTTTCTTCTTGATCCTAAAGATTTTCTTTTCCAAGGTATACATTTTGGAACTTTGAACTACTCAAACTTACAACTTCAAGCCATGGGGAAATTGTGAATCTTAGACTAATCTGAAAATCCACATGTCAAACCAGTACCTCAGACGAGTTAAAATTGCTACTCAAACTGAACATTTTTATTTTTAAGGCCTGCTGAATACCTTCAGAGAAAATTTGAAGCTCAACAATACAAATTGAAAGTGGAAAAACAGCTGGTAAGTAAAACACCAAAGGTGGGAGACAATCAGGAACTTTCTAATAATCATGGAACTGTATAGCTAAGTTTTTCCCTCAGAAAAGATCAAGATTACCCTGCACATTTCTCCATTTTTTAAAACATTTATTTATTTTGCATAGAACTGGGGGTTAGGCCAGAGGTTTGGGGGAATGAAAGGATTCACCAGAGCTGGAGTAGGGAGCAGAACATACAGATCTACTGAAATACACTGCTGAGGGGAGCAGCGGGCGAGACTGGAGAGGTCTGTTGAGCCATGTGGGTCACCTCCCCAGCCCGGGATGGAATTCAAACAACAGAGTGCTATGACTTAACCACTAAGCCACCAGGGCAGTACCTGCATTTCTCCAATTTTTAAGCTAAAAGAGAATAATGGGAATAGGCTTGAATCAGAGTCTGGGAAGTATGGGCTCACTATCATTCACTGCGTGACCGTAAGCAGATCTTACAAACTTTCTATAAGCCTCAATTTCATCTTGATAAGTGACAGTTTTGCAGTTAGTGAATTTCAAGATTCTCTGCAGTTCTTTTATTCTATTTTATTAGAAATCCACTTTTTTTTTAAAAGAGATGATTATACTTGATTAAAAATGAAAGTAAACTTACCTTTAAGTATAGAGTTGAAATTTTTGAGTTAGGGAAAAGGGAGGAAAACTTTGGTGCTGGATGAGGAACATTAGATGTATATCCAATATTTGGTTTGTATTTTGAACTACTCACAAGCTCTAGTTCTGTTTTCCTACCTAATCTCATACTCCACATGTTGACAAACCTTTATAGAACTTTAATTTCACAATTATAATTTACCGCTTTAGAAAATGAACCCAATATCCTCCATGGTAGTATAATATATTGATTGCTTAGGATAAACACAATTAGTTTTAGTCATTTTCTCCTATCTTTTATTTTAATTTTTAAAAAATATTTATTTATTTATTCATACAGACCTGGGGTACAGGCCAGAGATGCGGAGGGTGAGAGGATTCACCAGAGACAGAATGGGGAGCAGAACAGGCAGATGGATGAAGTACACTGATGAGGGGAGCAGCAGGCGGGTCAGGAGAGGTCTGCCACGCCATGTGGATCTCCGCCGGGGCATGCGGGGATGGAACTCATGAGGAAGTGGCTTAATCTTCTTAGTGCAGTGCTTTAACCAGCTGCGCCACCAGGGAGGGCCTATTTTCTGTATCTTTTACTACTTAAATTAAGAAAACTATGACTCACTATAAGTATACTAAGTTTGATTGGTGATATAATTCTCGTTTAATGGAAAATGTCTCTGGACACAGGTGGTTTGGTGGAGGATAAGTGGAGTGGTGCTCACATGGAAGAACACAAATGTAACCCCAAAAATTAAAATAAAATTTTTGTAAATGAAGGAAAAGTTAAGGTTAAATCAAAAGATGTCCCAAAATACAAGTATGTTTTATAAATTATCTTATTCAAATAATAGGGTCTTCGCCCGTCTTCCGCTGAGCCATGTCACAAGCAGAGACGTACCAGAGATGATTCTAGATGCCAGGAGCTGCGGCTCAGGACAAATGAAATGAAGGAACAGGTTAAAAACAGCCAGACCAGGGCTGTCAATCTATGTCTGCGGTCACCTTTTGTACTGTAATACGGTGTGATGTGTATTTTCTACAGTGTGCCTGCTCTCAGTATTTGAAGTTTATGGTGACCTCACTTACGAATGTCATTTGTTGCACAAATACTTGGTGGACACACTTCCCGGGGATACAGAGACACGCACCTTGCTCTTTTGGAGAACACAGTGTAGCTCAGAGGCTTTTACCTTGGGTTGATAAAGTCCATCATCAACATATTTGAGGGTTGTAATCATTTCCTGGGGATGCCTTCACAAGTTAACAACAAACTGGGCAGGATAAAACAACAGAAATTTCTGTTTCACAGTTCCTGAGGC